TCTTTCTTTCTTTCTTTCTTTCTTTCTTTCTTTCTTTCTTTCTTTCTTTCTTTCTTTCTTTCTTTCTTTTGGAAGCTGCTATATGCCAGTTGTGCAAATTCCTGTTAATTCATGCAAGAGTATTGCATTTTTAGACTCCCAAGGTTCAGTCATTGGAGAAGGAATAGCTAGCTGCATCATAGGTCTGGAGCACACAGCCACTGTGGGCAACAGAAAATCATAGAGCATGATATGCCAAAATGTTCTTTTGTATTGAAATGAATGGCAGCCCGCCTTCATCTTCTCTATTGCTTGCAAGTAGGCTTTTGCTGATGGATTGTGTCCAGAGTAGCTCCTCATACCCTTATTGCATAAAAACCAATTTACACTCATGAAGACAAGAATATTCCATTTTTAGTTTTCCATTTTACCAGTCTTTGTAGGAAACAGCTGCTTCAGGGCATCAACAGGTAGTGTCAGCGTCAGTGGGAATATCTTCTTTCCTACAGGCCATGAGTGTAATTTCAGTCCAGCTCCCGTAATGTAATACAGAAGACCAGAAGCAAAAAGAGGCACCAAACTTTGTTCAGTAGGAAGAAGGCTATTTAAATGAAATTTATACACATCGTCAAGGGTTGGAGAGTGTGTCCATCTGAGATAGCAGTGGGAAGACCTTCTGATAATTGTGCTCCAATTATCCAAGTCCAGAATATGTGATTGTGCTATTCTAATGCTCTTCATCATCATGTGCTCTTATTGAATAGCTTTGAAATGTACTAAGCCAGGCTACACCAACGCACTGCTAGGGAGGCAGTCCTGGCTGTCCTCTCATGCTACAGCTTCAAACACCTGGGTCATCTAAAATAAAGTTGTCTTTTTTTTTTTTTTAATGGAGAGACATTTCTGCTTGAGAGAGAAGAAAAGCAGGCACCCAGTTAATTAAAGGTTTCCATGAAGGAAAAGTGGGTCATTGCCTGAAAAAGCCCTTGTCGGCTACCGGAGAATCTTCACAGAATCTTCATTTGCAGGTTGGACTTAAAAAGGGGGGGGGGGGGCAGGAAGGAGCTATGTTAAATATGAAAATAATGCTCCCTGTAAGCCAAACTCTGCTTTTATTAAAAAGAACGTCATTTGCAGAATGATGAGTACAGTCTTGTTCTTTGCCTGATGCAGAATCCGAGAATGAAGCAAAATATTGCCAACTGCCAAATATTTTTGTGCAAGAATTCAGAAAGTCAATTGTGTTACATTAGTTGCACGTAAGCCAATGACTTATTTACCCCCTTGTGGATCCTTGTGTATTTATTTATCATCCACTTCCCAGAACAGAACTTTGTGTACTCTGGCCCTCAGTTCTTTTCTCCTGAAAATATATATCAGAATACTTTTATCTATTTTAGATTGAAACCTTGTCCTCTTCAGGGATTGCAATGTTCAGTGACGTTTTCTCTGTTTCAAAGTCCCACAATCCCAATTTAACATGTTCCTGGTGTTCCAGTTACTTTTACGAGGAAAATCTTTCTCCCTTTTCTCAAAATCTTAAGGTCACCAATACCTTTACAAAGGATTAGGCACATTTGGAAAACAGATCTCCTTCCAGACACAGAAACAATACACATAGTTCTGGGAGATGTAGCCAAAAGAAGTTTTCTTGTCCTGTTTATAAGCTTCCCAAAAGCTTTCTTCCAGATTCTGCCAGGGACAGACCTTCAATCTGATGTTGTAAGCAACTGCTATGGACTCCTATAACTTAAACATCTCTACACATTCTTACATCTTCTTCTCTTTCTACATATTGTAAAATATTGACAGGTTTAATGGCCAATTTGCATCTACTCAGTCCTCCTAATTTGGATTATAAACAACTACAAGACTATAAATATCCACCAGACTATGGAATAAGGCAGCATCTGGAGTCCTTAGCATCAAAATGTCCTGACTTTTTTTTTTAAATGTAAGTTTCTGCCCTTATGATCTCAAATGCAAGTTATGGAGGAATAATCCTCTGGTGGAATGAAATCTGACAGTGGATAGCCAATACTGAAGGGAGGCAGATGGGACTATGCCTTCAGAGTTGGTCCATACATTTCCTTTCTAGGCCATCAGTTCTCAAAATCAACAATTCGGATGAGAAGATTAAAAAAAAAAAAACTTGGAGAAGGCCAGAGGTAGGATTTTCTTATTTATACACTGGAATCTTGCAAAATCGGATCCACAGCTTTAGCAGCTTAATTTTGCAGCTTAAATAGCAGCAGCAGCATTTTGAGAAACTGACTAAGCTAGCTGGGTTTTCCCCATCTGGGTTAAATAAAAACTCAAGGGGTAAAAAAGAGATACACAGCATTTTTGTCCACATTCTTTATGGCCAAAGAGTAATATTACTTAATTGTGTAAAAGTCCCAGATTTCTGCCTTTTGGAGATTTTTTTTTTTTTAAAGATATAGAGGAGTCCAAAAGCAACAACTTTGAGGATGAGGATTTAGGGGTGCCTGGCAGTTCCATTCTGTCAGCTGTTTTACAGTAAATATATTATGAACCTGCCTTTCTAATTTTTTTTGGTTTAGTTTAAGCATGTGAGCGACTGAGTCCTGTTCAAGATCAGCATGTATACAGAGGAAATGGAAACTTTCTTCCCTAGTCACTTACAGAAAACAAATATACCTATACGCAAGAAGATGGAAAGAGAAGATTAAGGTCTTCTCCACTTGTGGAAGGTGGTCTCTATCAGGATCTAGTCCTTGCACTTGTATGCTACTATTATTAAAAAAAAAAAAAATTAAGACTGCCACATGCTGGTATTCAGCTGCAGGGTAGATTATCCCCCTGGAACTGTGTGCTTTTTCCCCAGGTCTGTGAATGTCTGGGTTAAAAAAAATCTGCTTATTTTGTATGCTATTTTATTGCATACATCCATGCACTTGCTAGTAGTCGACTCCAATTCTGTGGCACCTATTTTTAATTGCTGTTATAGGTAATTGTTATATAGTTTTTATGCTGCTGTTCTAGCTGTATTTTCTGAGGATTTTGATTGTAAGCCACTTCGGTGGGTTGAAAATCAGGGCATGAAATTAGTCCAATGAAATCTTCCCATCCTTCCACTAACTTTCAAGCCCACTGGCCAAGGAAGCTAACTTTAGGAGAAAGGGAGAGAGAGGGGGGCTAAAAGTACCCGAGAAGGATTGTCCAGAGGCAGCAGCTGTGTGTCTACCAGAACATCTGGCCCATTGCTGTCTTTTGCTACCAGAACATCAGCCCATTGCAAGGGCTGAAAATGTTGGGACTAGGGCAATCTGAACTAGGCATTGTTGCTAGTGGTGGTTCATCTACCTTTTAAGGAAAAAGGAGCTAGATGGCTTCCTTGTTTTTTTATGCCTTGAAAACATTCACTGGACAATACAACCTGAATGGAACAGTGTGTAGCCAAGTTTGCAGTGAAGATGAAATGATTCAGACTTATGCACGGACCAACAGAATCCCATAAGGACTTCTGTAGACTAATGTACAGGCCACAACATGACCAGTGTAGAAGAGGGGCAAGCAAGACATCCTTTCAGGATGAGTATTTCTAGGTGTTAATTTGTCCTAGCATTAGCTTCGTGATAAGGTTAAAAATTTTAAATGAATTTTAATGGTTTTAATTTTTCTGTTGCATGATATGTTTTGTAATTTTGTTTTATTGTTGTAAGCTGCCTTGAGTGCTTATGTGTGCAGAAAGGCAGGGTGAAAACTTGAAACTGCTTGAGAATTCAGCCATCTACTGTATATGATTCCTATTATTGTCAAGGGGGGACACTATGCTTCCTCCATGAATCTGGGCAGTTCCCAAAGAAGCCTAGAATGTGGTTGGTCCAAAGATAACCATTCTCACAACTTCTCTGTTTGTGGATCTCTCCCCCTGCTATTTGACTGCCTTCCCTACCCTTCCCCCACAATCCAATTGCCTTAGCTGGTTGCCTGTTTTCAAATGAAAAAGCCTATTCAGCTGGACAGTAGGTGAGGAGAAAACTTAGCTAGTATTCCTCTTCCCTTTGTCTATTGGTCTGCAATAAACATCATACAAGTCATCAGGACCTTGCCTTTATCAGCTGGCTAGAGGGGAGCTGAGAAGAAGTCTGGGGAGCTGAGCTAGTTAAACAAATGGCTTTGAAATGTAGTTAATTCCAAAGGGTGTTTAGTGGGAAAGCTTGCTTGACAGAGAGAATACTGTCAGGAGTGGCATTGAAAGGTGAGAACTTGCAACACTATGAAGACTGTGGAAGGATCAGGGAAACTATTCCCCTTGGAGTCCAAAGAAACCCAACTCATTGGGCCTCAGCTTACAGAAGGACCGTATACAACAGGAAAAGAGAAGCATTTAAGATGTCTGAACCTTTGAATGATGAAGAATACAGCATTTTGCAGAGGAAAAAATGGCTTTGACAGAATTCTTAATCCCAGATTAAGCATCATACATCCATAGTGCAAAATTGGGCTTAACCAGGCGCTCTGATGCTCTTAAGGTCCATTTCTGTTAAGAAACTCCTAGCAAGCTGTGTTGGAAATAAATAAACAGGAATGCAGAGATGCATGGACTTTTGATAAGTATATTTACTGTAGAGAAGTTTAAAAAGCCATTACAGAAGAATTCCAGTAACCTTTGAATGTCACTATTAATCGTGAAATCAAGGTTTAAATGCTTGCACCTCACTCTCCGACACAGAATATTATGGGCATGAAGCCATTCTCTTTTGGGTGAAAGACAGAGTTTCCATCTGGCACCCACTACTTGTTTGGGTAACAGATTGATCAGGCCCCTGGCTGTTTGCTTGTGACCGCATGAAGCCTCTCCCCGTTGCACTTACTGGAACAGGGCTCTCAAAACACTCCAGGTCATTGTAGTCCACTAACTGATAATCACAGGCCAAATCAAGACAATGTGTACACACACATAGCTTGAATGCTTCTTCCATTCAAAAGCTGTCTTCGCACAACATTCTAAGCCAGGTTTATTTAACATCGCTAGCTGAACAAAATGGAATTGGCTGAGTTTACATAGTAATCTAAGCCAGAAAGAGAGAGCTATGTTTTATGTGGGGAAGTACACTTTTTTATCCTTTAGAGGGGAGCATTAAAGCATGCAGTGAAACCATTTGTACCTTAAACTTAACAGGAAAAGGGGAAAAAAGCATTAACATTTCTGCTGCCAAAACCTGACCATTTTGCCAGAATGTTGTGAGTGCTCCCAGAGCCACAAACTGGGAGCGGGAGCTGTGGACATCCCATAGACTTCCCACAACTCTGCTTAGCCATAATTTACAAACCAGAGTGGCTGGGTTGATACACTATGCTAAGCCACACAGACAAACTGCATTTTGCCTTAATGTGCAGGTTAAAACTAGCTTGAGTTTGGTGATTTTGAGACAAAGACTTGCCGGGGTTAAATTCTAGTCTCTGGTAGATGCCTCATGTTCCTTCGGAAGACAATATAATTCTGCCTTGAATTACATGCTCCATAATCCATTTGTGCTCCAGAGAATTTATTATTATACTATTATGTACCAGGAAAATGTCTCTGTATGTCTGGGAGGAACAAGTCTTGGAGACCGGAGGTCTGTTGAACTGCAACAGGGCTTCACAATTGCAACACTCTGGTTTCGTTCAATCAAGTGAATGGTGATGTCTTTACCTCTCTCTTGGCCATGGTGACCAGAGAGTGTGTCAAACATCTCTAAGTGACAATGTCCCAATTCTTTATTTGCATAGCTTGTAATATTTCAAAGGGTCTTTCCCCACTGCTGTTTTGAAATGCTATTCACCAATCGTTGAGTCAGCAGAAAATACTAGCTTGGAATTAATTAAATTTGCTGCCACCATTGCCATACCCTATTCTCCCTCTATTGCCTCAGTCCCTACTCACTGGTGGTCATCTCACCTTCCTCCATGGTAAGGGGTATCAAAGCCAAGCAGATTTTACACATTTTGAGACTGCCTTCAATACCAGTAGAGCTATGGACAACTTCATGTCTTGCTTGTGAGCTGAGAGGCCTCATGGAGAGGTGGCAGAAAAACTATGTTGCTAAGACATGTGTTGTACTTTAGGCCAGGCCTATCTATAAATTTACCAAAGCCTGCATTCGGGAACTACATGACAGCAGAAGCTTCTTAGACTTGATAGTGTTAGATAGGTTGCTTTATTGCAGACAAGAAGGAAGTCATATAGACCCAGAAGATCTGCCTGTTGCAGAACACAAAAATCAAGAGGCACAAAAATGTCAGCACCAGGTTTAAACCTCCCACCCTTTTGGTTCAATAGACTTGGGTCAGTTCTTTTCCCAGCCTTGTAATTGGAATACCCCTGCTCCAGGTTTACATGTGGTTTTGCATGTTCTTAGCAACAAAGTTTATCACACACGACTTTCTTCACCATAAACAATTGTTCTTGACATGTTTTGATTTATTGATAACTTGCTCCAATGTTTATTAATCACAAAAAATACATTTTTTCTGAGATTGTGTTATAGCAATATAATAAGTTTGTATCAGAAGTTCTGTCCACTGTTAATGCAAATAATATACAAATCTTTTTGAGATGGTTATAATTGTTTGACTTAGCTGTTTTAGTTTATTTTGTTAACCAACTAAGGATTTGATAGAGGAGGTATCAGTAGAAGCTGTTAGTTAAACCAACACTGGCTTATTCTAGGAGGAGATGAAGGGCTCTCTCACTTATTGCAACAAAAAATGGAAAAAAAATAAAAGGTGCCATTTTTTCCTAAAAAAAATATGGTAGCAATCTTTTGGTCCTGAGGGCTGCATCTAGTGGCATATTCTGGAGCCAGATGCTTAAAGATACACTCATATTCACAAAATTATACAACGTGCAGTCATTCCCCATCTCAGAGGCCCCACTGAGGATAGAAAGAAACCAACACTTTTGAGCCAAGATGCTGAGGGGAATGAAAAGGAAGAAATGACACGTCTTTTTCCTGTTCAGGAATCTTTCCCTGTTCAGGAACCTTTCTCTCTGCTAATGGCACTGGGGGATGAGAAGAGAAATCTGGGCAAGAGGAATTGTCCCCCCACCTCTCCCAGCCAATAAAAGACACAACTATCCATTTATTTGGTATCAAAGAAAAGGGCAGCAGGAATAGTGGAAGCTACATGAGAAGTATGTCTTTTCCATTCATGCATGAAATCATAATTTAGTTTATGCTTCTTCAGTAGATTAATGAGTCATTTGCATAGACACCCAGTCCTTCCCAACAATGCCCTTGATCCAATCCAAGTAGCTGATGATTTTGGTATAAAAGCCATACCCTTTGCCACACTCAAGGCCCCAAGAAACAATGCCTGTGGCCACCCAACGCTGAGTCTCCATGTCACGCACAGCTAAGGCCCCTCCACTGTCACCCTGACAAGTGTCTTTTCCTCCATAAGGGGAACCGGCACAAAACATGTTGGCAGAGAAGACTGGATCCTTCCCAGAGATCTTCTTTCCTCGCAACCACTCCCGACACTCTTCCTGGTTGCCCACTGGGATGGGGGCATATTTCAGTCTGCTAGCAAGAATGTTTTTTTCTACTCCAAAGCCACTGGCATACCCCATCCAACCTGGATGATAATAGGTGGTGTTTCCTGAGTCAGGGAGACAGACAGGCAGCATGTCGTGGCCGAGGGTCACCGGATCCCTCAACTCAATGAGCGCAATGTCTCCATCAAAGTTATGCTCATCCTTTGGATTGTAGGCTGGATGCACAAACAGTCTGCGGACCGGCCGATTGCCTACTTTGTACAGTTCGGTGACCTCTGTGTGACCCAGGAAGATTTCAGCCTTCTCAGCCACCTGTTCAGGGCTCTGCGTCTCCGTGGAATTCTGTTGCCCTTTTGGGTACACAACATGGGCAGCCGTCAGGATCCAGCGATCACCCAGCAGTGCCCCACCTGCTCGTCCAGAGATGACCGTCATAGCTTGCCATGGGAAACTGCCTCGTGGGGCATCCTTTCCACCAATAACTCGCTGGACTTCTACGACAGGGTTGTCTGGCTTTCCACACACTGCAAAAAGAAGGAGAACGCTCAGGAAGACAGTAGAACCCCATCTCCCAGCCCTATTGGCCTCCTCAGCAAACTTTCCTTATTTGGACACCTTATCTTTCCTTTAACTAACTATATCAGACCTGGACTCTGTAATCGCTTTCTTCTTTAGTTCTTGTTGATCCATTAGCTCACTACTGTCCCCTCTTTGGGCTAAAAATGTCAGGGGTTGATATCTCTCTCATTACACTACCAGAGGAGGAAACAGAAGGTAATTCAGTAGATTCCTACTATACTTGGCAATGGACAGCCATCAGAACTGGGCACCTAAAGCCTGCCAACTTTTCCTGCTAATCGGTTGCATGGCTCGTTCTTCTTTCTCCAAGCATGCCTGGCACCTATGGTGTTGTCTTCCTATTAGGACTGTGGGCACTACTCATTTGCCTTTCTGGGTACACAAAGGAACTGAAAGCCAGAAAAAAAAAAAGACCTCAGAAGTCTCAGATTTTTACTCTTGGCAAAGATGTTTAACCAGAGACACTGGTCGTTGTTATTGGTTTAAAGAAAAAAACTCAATGTCTATATGCTTCATCAGTATGCTTCTTTTATATGTTTGGATCTCTACTTTTGTGTGTGTTCTGATCTAGCCTATCCTCCTTGTTACTTACAGAGGTTAGTTTTAAGAAGAGGATGAGAATTGAAGCTAATCTCAGGTCTGGATTCAGAATCCCATCTCATTCTAACAGGTCAAATAACATCAAAGGGGTGGGCCTGATACCTGCTTCCTCTCTGCCTCCTCTGGCACTAGGAGCTGCTAGTCTTCTGGAACCAGCACCAGCTCTAGCTACTGGGAAGAGCAGATCATGTTCTATAACAACATGAAACAAGAAAGGTCTTTGGGCATGATTTACCTGGCAGACATACTGGGATGTCTTCATGATTAACTTGATCCTTCCAGGAACCCTCAGCAGAGCAGGTGTAGGTACCTAAAGGAGGAACAAGAACAAGAATAGTGGGACCAAAGTTTGCAGAAAATGTAATATATTAACATCTGGGATTTTCTAGTCTGTGAGGGCCCACTGGCATGAGGCATTCTCACCCTCCAACCAGAATTGACCTAGGAGAAATTGCTCATGAATCCTCATTTCTGTGAAGTCAGGACAGCCAAGGCCAGGTAGAGGAGTTTCTCCATCCTGGCCCTTGCCCTACGGAACCACCTCCTGTGGAAGTTAGAATGGTGGCCTTCCAGAAGCTGGTTAAGATAGAGCTCTTCTCGAGAGCTTTCTAAACTTAATTGAGATAACACCATCATAGCACGTTTTCAGCAAATATTGCTGTCCCAATGCTGTTTTAACACCACAGTAGCCCACACTGAGTCCATCAAAGTTGGGCAACTATAACAAATTTAAATAAATAAAATGAATGAATGAATGAATGAATGAATGAATGAATGAATGAATGAAT